CTCTGTAAGTTATTATTTTCTAGCAGATGCCTCTCCCTAAACCCTTTGAGCATAACTTAAAACTCAGTGCAGATGTATCACTTGACTAATTATAGCAATTGACAGTTACTCTGTACTGCCAATCAGCAGCAGCATCAACAGCAAGTAAATTAAAGGGGAAAGTACTTTTCTCTAAGTAAAGCATTGGTTTACTTGAGACTAGGTAGTTGTATTTTGGGTTTCATGCTGAAAAATGTCCAACTCTTTCAGGAGTTGCTGGAAATTAAGCTTAAAACTTTGACTGCAGAACATGTCCTAAGCCACAATTGTTTCCAGTACTGGTATTTAGTCCACTTAAGTGATAGTTTAGGATGTGCTCATTAAGCTAATTCTCAAGGTTCAGTAGCCAGTTTTCTAATACTTAGTTTAGGAGGGTTTGGGGATATTTCCCACTCCTTCTTGCCTAAAATTATATTCTGTGGCTCCACTGAATTAAAGAACTAAGCTGGTGTGATTTATTTTATTCTATTGCACCCTTGGCAAAGAAACTTTGACCATGGGAACCAAGTTAAGTCATAGAAAGGTATTCATTAAAAAGAATCTGAAAAAAATATTTCAATTAGACCTCTGCATTTTACATCTTAAACTATCCTAGATTGAATTCTTGGGAATATACCTCTGTATTTGACTTCATGTATCAAAAGTGTCTGGCTTGAAATGGAGTACAAATTTAGAACAGCTGCATCCTGTGTAGAGATTCTGCTACAAAAATGAATAGCAGAAGTTAACAACTTTTCACATTTTAGGAGACTAGGAGATGCTGTTCTATTGCCTGTCCTTGTTTTGATTCCAAAAAAATGACCCTTTCTAATGGAGCTTGTGATCTTCAATGTTGAATCCTGCTGTTCAATTTACAGATTTTAGATGCTGAAGCATTTTTTTTTTACTTCAAACTTTGTGCTGTCTTCTTTGTTCACCTTCTTATTATTTTCCTTGCCTTCTAAATTACACTTGTTCACATGCTGTGCCAGCCAGGGAAGGGGACAAACATCCAACCTATAAATTGCATTCCCAACCCATCAGAAATACAAACTTTTTACTGTTTAGGAAGAGTGTAATGGTGTATACAGCTGGTGTCAGAATAAACAATGCCAGTTGTTTCTTCTGCCTTTTTGTTATTTTTTTTCCCCTGAAGTTGTAAACTACTTGAAAGTTTGTAGCTTTAGTAACATGTTTGGCAAAGCACCTGAAATGAAGATTCAAAACTCTTCCCAGCATTCATTGCTTTGTGAATTCTCATTTAAAATTAATTTAACTTGTATTTTCATCTATAAGTTCCACCAGGTCAGGGAATTGATACAATGATATAAGAAAGAACATAGCATTACTGCATCTCAGTAAGATTTCTTTTGGAGTATCTTCAATACAGCCCTTAGTATAGTGGGAACCCAGGAGCGCCATATCCTAAAACATATCTCATTTAAGGGGCCTCACTAAAGATACCTTCCAAGATACTCTCAGAATTCAAGGGTCAAGTAGCAAAGAACTCAGACTGATACTTAGATCTGGTGATGCAATTCCATTAATAGCAATTGCAATAGCGCTTAGACTTATATACCACTTCACAGTGCTTTACAGCCCTCTTTAAGCGGTTTACAGAGTCAGCCTCTTGCCTCCAACAATCTGGGTCCTCATTTTACCAAGCTCGGAAGGATGGAAGGCTAGTCAACCTTGAGCCTGGTGAGATTCGAACTGCCAAACTGCCGGCAGTCAGCAGAAGTAGCCTGCAGTATTGCATTCTAATCACTGTGCCACCACGGCTCTTAGATTAAAACTAGCCATCATCAACCAGTAGCCTCAAGGCTCTTGCTTGAATATTCCCATTGATTTACCTTGATATCTCCTTAGATCTTGTTTCCAAACATCATTCAGTCTCTCACTCTTTCAAGAATGGTCCTTGGTTATTTTCTTTCTGTGTTTTTTTTAAAAAAATCAATTTGAGAAGAGATTTGCAGTCTAGAATTTGGAAGAAACAAAAACGTGATTTGCCCATGATCTTCATTTATCAAAGTCCAAAGTTGAGTCTGCCTTTTGCAACTTAACTTTTCAAAGTGAAATTGCAAAAACACGTATACCAAGATCATTTTCTGGAGATTCTTAATAATTATAATGAGATTAAGAATATATATATATAAAAAAAACAAGAATATGTGAAAAACTTTTTCAGGCTCAATTTGTAATGACATGGTAATTATTAGAGTCTTTCACTCTGTTACCTTCCATCAGTGATAAGAATAGTGTCTTTCCTGCTTCCATGGCCAAGTTAATCTTAGAAGAAAGTTGAGACTATCTCTTCCCTCTTCTTTCCCAATCTCTCGTGGTGCGGCAGAATAATAAGAGGAAGACCATGGTGAATTTGGGGCTTGTATTCTTTTCCATGATTAACTTCATAGTGTCAAGTACTTTAAGTCCAAAAGATCAGGTGATAGCTAAGAAAAGGGGAAGGATTCTGTCCACTGAAATAGAGAGAATTGGGATATTAAAATCTTACCGGATTTAGAGGGTAGGATAGGAACTTTTGCTTTATTGGAGTAAGAAATTTAGGAAAACAAAATTTTGTTTGTAATTTTGTTTCCTAAATAGAATTGTAAAAGAAATCTGTGAAATCTTTACAAAACTCTAAGCCAGCGATGATGAAACTATGACATGTATGTCAAAAGTAGTGTACCATAATATTTCAGATGATACGCCTGTGTTTACCAACATGTGACAATAACTATAATTGAAAGCACATTCTCACACAATTTTCAGAAGCTGTGGATGCCATACGAGAATGAGGTATGCTCTTGTGTGGCCTCCATACCTTCTGGCAGTTGGGTGAGATTTGCTGTGCTCTTGCATGGAACCTGTGAAAATCATGTGAGAACAGGTTCCACATAGTTGAAGCTGCAGAAGAGCATTCTCCAAAGCTGCTTCAAGAACAAAGGCTTCATGCAACCCAGAGCAGCCATGAGTAGGCTGCAGTGGTCTGTCAACAGAAGAGAGAACACCATCTGCAAAGTCAAGTTAGGTATTTTCCTAGTTATTGACAGGCTGAACCCAGGAGCTCCATCTTCACTACTGTAAGCTCCACTCTAGGTTAACACCATATCTAATGTAATTCCTGTAGACAAATTCAGAATGCAATATCAATGAACTAGCCAAAGATGAACATGTGTGTATAGAATTATTGTAAGTCTAAATCCAGGAAGAGACCCAAAGAATGTATATCGCTGTTTTCTGCACCACTTTATATTTGTAACATAACTGAAGTTAATTAAGCATCTTCAGAAGCATCAAATACACTCTGTAAGGAAACTTTCATTGTATTTTAGGAACAAAAGAGTATATTTGATTGATAGAACCAAGGTGGCGCAGTGGTTAGAGTGCAGTACTGCGGGCTACTTCAGCTGATTGCTAGCTGCAGTTTGGCAGTTCAAATCTCACCTGCTCAAGGTTGACTCAGCCTTCCATCCTTCTGAAATGGGTAAAATGAGGACCCAGATTGTTGGGGGCAATATGCTGACTCTGTAAACCACTAAGAGAGGGCTGTAAAAGCACTATGAAGTGGTATATAAGTCTAAGTGCTATTGTTATTTTTATTGCTATATTACTTTAAACTTTATCTTGCTGGTGTATTAAAATAGAGTGTTCCTTATCAAGCAAAGGTGGTAAACCAAGAGAGTCCCTTTTGTTTGAGAATATGTCCTCCCTTTCCCAATCTTATGATTGCTTTTAAATGATTTTATTATAAGTATGGTGTAAAATTAAATGTAATATTCAAATGTCCCTCATCTTTCTAATTGCAAGAAGAAAGTCCAAACTGGACATACAGTAGATTAATTAGAGTTTTACCATTATGACAACCCGGTTTGTGGGAGCACTAAGCTGACTTTGTATAAATATACAAAAAGTATGAAGGCTATTGCTTAACGCATTGTAAGCCGCCCTGAGTCTCTGGAGAAGGGCGGCATATAAAAATAAATTTTAAAAAAATAAAAATAAAATAAATAAATTTGCTCTAGAAGGATTTTTTTTTTTTCCATAAGGTTTCAGCACCTAAAACAAAATACAAAGCCGTTTATTCAGTTGTGGCATTAGAGTCCTTTTTTTAAAAAAAGAAAATGAAGTAAAAAGAGAGAACTTGGGAGTTTAATTTAGCATGACTTCCTTAGATTGCTGTTTCTCAGTCCACAGGCTTTTTACTTCTTCATGGTGTTCTCTGGCCTAATGAGAAGAGAGCATATTTCCCATGTATTAATTATAACTGTTGTTTCTGCTTCAAGATGGAAATTACTGGACTCCTTTGATAGTGGCAAATCAAAGGAGACGATTTGAGAAGTCTTTGTTCAAATTCTTTAGTACCCTGGAGTGCATCCAAAAAAGTAACTTAAACCACTCTATGCTACATACTGCTTTCAAAATTTCCCCTCCCAGCAGATAAACAGAGAACCATTGGTTCGGTTCTCACTGGGTTGTACAAATCAGGCTTTTCTGAATCGCCACATGTGACACTTCTCTGCGATTAAACAGCTCTAAAGTCCTTCTCATCTTGTCCACTTTTCTGAAGGAGCTTTTTTTTTTCTTTTTAATGGCGGTCTCAGAAATGGTGCAAGTAAAAGGATAGGACAGCAGGGTTCCTCATCTCCAGGTATCAGCGGTGACACAATGACCTTGACTGTAGAAATGGGGAAACAATCTGTCTAATGTGAAAAGGTGTAAATGGACTCAAAGCCCATACATTGTTCTTGTGGGCTGTTGCCTGCTGAGAAATGAATGCTTCTTGATCATTTGCATTGGAAATGTGAAACGCTGCACCTGGAGAGCCAGTTGAAAGAGGCCCTTTGGTGATTAGAGAGCTTGGGTATTCAGGAGAAATCTTTTCAATTAGCTGTATTACCTTTCTTTGAAAACAATATGAGGGTTATAAAAGCAAGTGACACTTCTTTCTCTTTCCTCCCCCTCAACCCCCACCGCCCCAGAAAGCCCGGCTTGCAAGGATCCGTGCAGCAAAGAGTGGGAGTGCAAATGCTTATATGCAGAGCAAAAGAAATGGCTTCCTCAGTAACCAGCTGCAGGTAACGAGCAATCTGTGTTCTATATCCAGAAACATCATTTATTTAATAATAGCCCAGCAATCTTTTGTCTGTTTCATATCGGAAAATGTCAGGCTGCCTTCCAATATACCATGACAGTCACCCTCAGGCAGAAGAAGGAGTAATTGCTCTTAACTAGCAAGAGCTTTGCAAGTCCAGTTCAGGCAAGATGTCCCAGTTGAGTTTCTGGAACCTGCAAAGTCAAATTAATACATGATGGAGAATGTGAGTTTGTCATGTAGTTTCCGTAGGTCTAAAATTGTTCTTCGAGGACTATTTACCTTGCCACACATATATGTCTATACAAAGATGCATGCACGCATGTACACAAAATTCACCTACTGTTCTGGCCTCCACCATAAATCACTTTTGGTTTTAATTTCAAAAAGATTTCAAATTTTGGCTAAGTAACTTCTAAGCTCCCTTATACTGGACGAATGTTTAGCTCAAATTCTCCTTCCTTCTTGATCCCTTAATGGATCACCTCTGGCTTTTATTGCATACTCTGTGAATGGCAGGGGATTTTGTCCAGTACATCCATGGACCAGAAATAATAAAGAGCACAGATAGTCCTTGACTTACAATCATTCATTTAGTGACTGTTCAAAGTTAAAACAGAGTTTTAAAAAGTGACTTATGACTGGTCTTTGTCCTTCTGACCATCACAGTATCCATTTGGTCACATGTTCAAAATTTGTGTCCTTAGCAACTAGTAGATTTTTATGATGGTTGCAACATCCTGGAGCCATGTGATTGCCAATTGTGACCTACCCAGCTAGTTTCTGACAAGCAGAGTCAATCGGGGAAGCTGGGTTAACTTAACAACTTCATGATTCATTTAACACCTTTAATGATTCACTTAATAACTGTGGCAAAAAGTTATAAATTGGTTGTGACTCACTTAACAATTGCCTTGCTTAGAAACAGAAATTCTGGTCCCAATAGTGATTGTAAAATGAGAACTTCCCATAGTAAGCAGAGTATGGTAGAAATCCAAAAGTTAGTTAACTAGTTAACTAAACTACTTTCTGGTTTAGTTTCTTAGGCTGCCTAAGAAATATTAGAGTTGTAGCTGATTGCAGAAGTAGCAGCAGCAGCAGCAACAACAACAAAACACCAGTCCTTTATTAGCACAATTCTTAGAATGATTTCCTTTACTAAGTGTGGCTCAGTTGTTCCCTCACCTTCAGGAACTCATTTATTTAACAAGACTTTATTGCTTGTTGCTGCTATACTGATTTTTGTACACTTTCTAAGGTGCTATTTGGCGGATAGTAGCAATATTGATATGGGTTTTGTGTTGAATGACAGAAATATCTTTTTCTTCTATAATGCAGCATAGAAAACTTTTAAAGCAATGAAGTTCAAATGACAAACAATCACTCCTATTGACAAGAACATTCAAATAGAAGGACAGCCTAGAAGGGGGGGGGGGTGAGAGGAAAGGAAAACAAGACTTGATTACTTCACACATTTAAACTGTGACAGGAAATTTTCAATAGTTAATTAGAATTAAGATTTTAAACCCACTTATTTATCGCAAAGTGCCAACACGGCAATTTAACCTGAATAATGAGTTTTTACTACCTAAAATAATGATAAACAAGGCAGAGTTTAGCTAAATGTTCTAAGAAAAACTGATAAATGCACTTTTATGCACCTTCATTTTTTTTCTGCTATTGAAATATTATGTTTAGCAACAATAAAAAAGAAAAATGTTTGTAATATCATTTCTCTCTTTCCATCCCTCTCTCTCTCTTTCCCTCCCTCTCTCTCTGTTTTCCTCTCCCTCTCTCTCTTTCCCTCCCTCCTTTTCTCTTTCTCCCACCCTCCCTCTCTCTCTCCCCCCTGCGGGAGAAATGTGATGAGCTGAGCTGGGGCGATGGCACGTGTGCCCATAGAGAGGGCTCTGAGTGCCACTTCTAGCACATGTGCCATAGATTCGCCACCACTGTTCTAGAGAGTTCTATTCAGACATGACACTAATCATGTCCAACTTTTCACTGAATGGCTGCTTTTTTTCTGGATCACTCACATCACTGCTTTCATCCTGCATTTGTTGGCCCCATTTATATCAACTGACAAATGCAATAATGTTTTTTTTTCCTCAGGGGGTTTGTTTCCAAAACTGTTGAACCTCAACTCTCTTAATTCCCAGATGGCATGGGAGGTTGATTCCCACAATCTGGAGGACATCAGATTGGAGAAAGTTCACTTGTCTAAAAACCACTAAGGATTGGTTTGAGATGGTCAATGTCATGTTAGAACATTCAGTGAACAGTGTCTTGCTTGCCTTGACTTTTATATCAAGTTTATAAGTAAACTGAAACAGTTTTTTTTTTTTTAAAAAAAAAGAAAGTTTATGCTATTTAATATTTCCATGATAGACGATTATAGTGGCTGGCCCTTTTTAAAGTCAAGAATTCAGTTTAAAGCCCATTCCTTCACAAATGAGAATAATGTAACATTCAATATATCAACAGCTATGTGGTGAAGAACAAGAGGCCTTTGTTAGCAAATCTGGTTCTTCCTTTGAAATCCAGCACCACCATCTGCTTCACTGTCTGGAAAAAACCACGGTAAGATGATAAACTGACAGCCTCCTTGTGATCTGTAAAAACAAACAAAAATTACATTGGTTGATCTTATTGCTTTAAGAACCGCTCCATGCTTTGGTAATGCTATGCTGATTTTTCCATTTACACATGGGCAGCCAACAAGAAACTATAGTGATCCATACTTTTTGTCACTGAGCTTCACCAATAGTCGTTGTTTAACAGTCCAAAGTATATGTTGCATCTTGCTCCTTTTCATATTCCTTGGTTCTTATATCTGAAAGAAATGCCAAAAGAAGGAGAACATATCCAAGAACAGATCATTGTTGCAGTTGTGTTGATTATTGGAAATGTCACACCAGGAGTGGTAATCCTGAATTAATAGCTCAGGTTCTCTCTGCCAGTTCTGATGACAAATTGTTGGGTTGGATTCAACATGCTGTTCATCTAAAAGAAGGACTTGGAAAAAGTTTCCTTCAATTGAAGGGAGGTAAACTTTGAAATCAATTATGTGGTTGTAATAATTGTACTTCTGCTTTTAATTTTTATCTGTAGCAGATTAAAACACTAGAACCTAACTATATCGGGCCTTTGTTTAGTTTTTATATTATTTTAAACATTATGGTTTCCATTTGCTCTTTGAAATTAGGTCAAGTAGTTGCCTCTGTTGAGATATCACCTGCTCTTTTGTACAATTGTGGGTTGGTGGTAACCAGACCTTAATATATCTTCATGGTGCTAAATTTCATCATTCTATAACTTCAAAAAATACCTCTGATCCTTTTGATTGTTTTTGTTTTATTAGAGAAAAACATGGGAGAAAGTATTGTTTTTCTTTTCAAATATTCTTTTTTTTATCTCCCAATTTCTCCCCTTCATCTTTGAGAGCAAGCATGATTAGCACAAATACATTATTTTATTGTTTTAATTATCTACAATATCTCAGGCAAGCTGTCATCAGGATCCAAAATATGCAGCATGGAGTGAACTAGAGGACCTAAATTGGTGTTATTGTAGGTAATATATTGGTATTGGTAATTTTTAACAGCAATTCCATATATCTCATGCAATCTCTGAAACTCAGCTCATTTTAAAGTAATTGCTTTTGTTGCTCTGTTAAGTTTAAGAAATTCAAACCCTATGATTTGCTTAAATCCAGTTAGTACCTAAGCGGGGGTTGTTATACCCTGTTTCCCTGAAAATAAGATATCCCCTGATAATAAGCCCAATCGGGTTTTTGAGTGCAAGTGCTAAAATAAGCCTCCCCCCAAAAATAAGCCCTCCCCAAAAATATTTAAACGCAGAGCTGGAAATCAGGTAAGACAGTAAGAGGAGCCCCATCTTGGTCCACGTGCCCCAAAATAATAAGACCTCCCCAAAAATAAGCACGTATTTCCGGGTTCAAAAAAATATTTTCAGGGAAACACGGGTACTTTGGAAGGAAATTCCATTCATTAACCTGAAATGAAAAGCACATTTACTCAGTAGTATTTGGGCTCTGACTTCTTGTTAAGAATGGCCTTGCAATGACTAAATAGAAAAACATAGCCTATGTTTTTCTATTTAAACTATAGTTTAAAAATGCTGCCAATGAAATATGAGTACCTTGCATAAGTCACTGTTACCATGTCAATTTATGCCTCTTTTTCTGTCTATGTCTGTGGCCCAGAATCATGACTTTGTGGATGAGCAAACCTATGAAGAAAACTGTATGGAGGTTTCTACAGTCAACCGGCAATCTAGCCATAGTCCTTCTCTTTCTTCTCAACAAGGAGTGACAAGCTCTTGCTGTTCCCGACGACATAAAAAGACATTCCGCATCCCAAACACCAATATAACCAGTAGCCGTCCAAGTAGTGTCCAAGAACTCAGCACTATTCAGATCAGATGCATGGAAAGAACACCTCTGTCAAACAGGTACTTCGGTTGTAAAAGTGCTCCTAGATAAGTGTTTTTGATAAAATGTTCAAATTTGCCCGGGGGAAAAATTAGCAAGATGTATACATGATTGTTTGTACTTGCTGTGTTTCAAATAATAACCTCTACTAGAAGGAAAAGCATCATTCCCTGTGGTCATCTCATAACACAGGTCCCTCCAAATAAAGGTAAAGCATAATTTTAAAAAATTAAAAAGTGGCTGAAAATGTATTTAATGTAGGAATTTGATTGGTACTTTTTAAATTGCTGGTGCTAAACTGTCAAGCTATGTCTAAAGCATTCTAGAAAAAGCATTTTCATGCTTAAATTGTAGGATAGAGGTGAATGAGTTTCTTTAATATCAATATTCATTTCATGATTCTTTTGTGTAAAATGATGAGCCTTTCTGGCAGTACTTTTTCATTATATCTTCCAATTTATATTTTATTATAAATGAAATTTGATGATTTCATTATGGCAAATCACCATGAATTTCACGAGGATAAGGTGATTTTCAAAAAGACAGAAATGTATTGTGTTCATTAGATGACAGTCACTCAGGACAGAGCAAAACACTGCACTGAGAAAAACTTATTTGGGAAAACGTTCCTTGAATGTAATGAAAATGAGAATAATTTCTACTTCCAAACTCAAGTTTAGTTTGTGATTACAGGTGGGGAATTAAATTCCTATGACCCAACTAGTGGAAGTTAGTTTATAAATAATTATTTAAATATGCATCTCAATGTATTTAGAGTCAGACTTCTTCTTACAACTGATAGTTCAACATATTAACCTGTCCATTCATCATTGTCATTTTATTTGAGTGCATGTCCACCTGAGTTTTAGTCTCTAAATATGTCATACATATCTTCAAAGCTATGTTGGTTTGTAAGCTGTTGTATAATTAAAGCTAACATATGAGTTCCTTAATTTCATTATGATCAATATTATACATGAGTTGATTTTTTTTAAGCCATGAACCATTCCAAAACAATAGACTAAACTCATTTAGCACTTCCAAATTCATCCATTTGAGCTAGGTAAATGTAGAAGATGTAAGAAAAAGATATTCAGAAACAGTAAGCATCTAACATACAGTTTGATCTAGCAATTAAGGCACCAAGCTAGAAACCAGGAGCCTCTGAGGCACCTTAAGCATGAAAAACTAACTGGGTGCCCTTGGGACCACCACTTTCTCTCAGCCCAAATCAGGTTACAGGGTTGTGAGAAAAATAAGAGGATGAAGAAGCATTAGGTATGTTCGCTGCCTTGAGTTATTTCTAAAAATAATAAAGGCAGAATCTAAACCAACAAACAAACAAATAATATAAAGTCTTCTCTATATGTGACCTGACCAACATGCCTCTTGGATTATTTTCTGACATACTAGAATTGAATAAAAACCCTAAAGCAGATGGAATGTTTACATGATTTGTTTCTGTTTTTCTCTCATCTCTAGTCGATCCAGTTTAAATGCCAAAATGGAAGAGTGTGTAAAACTAAACTGTGAGCAGCCTTATGTAACCACAGCAATAATCAGCATCCCAACACCACCTGTGACTACCCCGGAAGGAGACAATAGACAGGATACTCCAGAGTATTCAGGAGGAAACATCGTCCGAGTATCTGCTTTATAAAAACAAAGACCATTGAGTAGCTGTCAAGATTCAGAAGATAGAGGGCTATATCTCTGGATTAAACAGAACAGCCACAGATAATGGAAGGATTCCAGAGATACAAAGTATTCTAACTTTTCAATATTGAACTGTGTGCAGTGAACAACCAAATGAAATTTCTATATGAACTGGACCTTTTCTGGAATAAACTCTTGTGTGACTCTTTTCATTTACTGTACGAGCACAATGAAATGTCTCCAATTAAAGCTTCTTCTTACCATGGGATGTAGAAAAAAAATCTTTTTAATAAAATACCTTTAAAAAAAACACAAAGACACATACCACCATTCAGACAGTTTATTTTCCAGCCAAATGCAAAATTAAGGATGGACCCAGTTTTGATAACGTGTTCTCTTTTTTCCTATTGATAAAACATGAACTCATCAATCAGCTGACATCAAAAGAGAGAGAAATGGCTCATCCAGTACGTATATCGATTGAAAGAAACAACTCATATGCATGTGAAAATTCTTTGAAGCTGTGATCTGAATTTACTTCTGTTGTTTACTTCAGACTAGGCATGATAACATTTTACTGTAAAAAAGGGGCATTTCTGTGCACTTATAAAAGCTGATCGTTAATGTTCCATGGTGTACAAATAATTTGCTGGAGAGGGGTGGGAATGGGAAGAGAAAAAATTCATATTCAAAACACACATTAGTGAACTTGAGGTGTTCAGTTAGTTTAATATTTATAATTGTTTTCCCTTACTTCCTTGGTACTGTTACAACTGCAATAATTCAATATACATCTGTTGTATCAGGAATCAGTCTTTTATTTATATAACTGCACAAAGTCAGCTATAAAATAAAAACCCACATTGATAATCAATACGTTATGTAACATGAAAAAGTTTAATGTTTTAATCATTTAAGGCCAACAATAATTCTGCCAACCTTTTTTGTTTTTCTCTTATCCTACAATTCTTCAAAGCCAATCTTTGCTTTTCGTTATTTGTTTTGTTCTCCTTTGAATACAGTTTTCCTGTTTTTTTTAAAAAAACTTGATCTATAAGCATCATTCTATAGTGTATGTTTTCTGAATTAATTAAGTCTTCCTAATGTGATGTTACAATGTAGCTGACATCTGATATTAAATTAACATGGTGTAGCATAAAGTCCTCTAAAACTGCTATATAATGATGTTAGATAAACTAAGCACTGGAAGTCGTACAGATAAGATTTGCTGAAGATTACATAAATCTGTCAAATCTGTTCTGAAGCACTGGATCAGATAGCTTAACAGGGCAATTCACAGTGAAGTGGAGTTTGAAAAAGTCAAGATGGCTACCATGACTACATCATCAAGGCCTGCCCCTTTTTTGCATGAGACGCCATTGCAGGACTAGCCCCATCTTTACATTTTTAAGTATGTCCCTTCGTGGATGCCCAATATTCTAAAATGGATTACAGTTGAAATTTAAAGCTTTAGCTCAGAACTACAAGAGTGTATTACTATAAGATCAGTACATATATTTTATCATGTCTTTTTGTTTCACTATCTAAAGGACTTTTAAAATGCTGCTTTTTCAAAAACCCAGTTTCAAAAACCCAACTTTCTTCAACTGTTTCTTCAGTTATTGTTATCTGTTTAGGAATGTGATAGCTTCCTATTATTTCACCTTATTAATCAAAGCAGTTGACAAAATATAACCAAATCTGGGAAGATTTTCTAAAGAAATTGATATATGGGCCAATATGAAATTGTATTTAACCTGAGAAGTGTCTTTACCTGAAGTATGGAAGAATGTCTATAAATGTTTCACTGATGTAATACTAAAAAAATTATTCAGATAGTCCTCAACTTACAATAATTCATTTAATCGCCATTCAAAGTTATGATGGTGCTGAAAAAGTGACTTACAACCAATTGTCACACAGTCTCCATGGTCATGTGATCAAAATGTGTGGCCTTGGCAACCACCGTTTATTTTTTATTTATTCATTTTTATTTATTTTTCTCCCATATTATTTTTTATACATAGTTCAAGATGGAGAACATATCTGATGCTCCTTCCTCCTCATACTTTCCCTACAATGACCTGTGAGGTGGTTGGACTGAGAGAGAGAGAGAGACTGGTCCAAAGTCACCCAGCTGTCATGAATTTACAATGGTCAGGTTATTCACCATTCATGATCTTCCTAGCTGGCTTCTGATAATCAAAGCCAATGGGGGAAACCAGACTCAATAATCACAATTCACTTAACAACCACATTGATTTACTTAGCAGTTGTGACAAAAAAAAGATCATAACATTGAGCACAACTCACTTACCAACCATCTCACTTAGCAATAAAAGTTCTGGTCCCGATTGTGGTCATAGGTTGAGGACTGCCCGTACATTGGATGTTAGTGATCAGACCGTTCTTCTGTGTTTCTAAACAATCTAGTTTAAATTACCTGCAACACTTGTATTATTATGTGACCAGTGGTACAACCCAAAGCATCTCATTTCTCCAGTGCACTGGAGCAGGCTTTAGGGCAAGATATTCATCCCATAACTATGAATGGATTTGCCTGGTCTTGTTGCATTACTTTAGGGGTGATTTTTCCCTGGGAAACCAGGCGGTAGATAAACAGGCTGCAATAGAATCTGTGGTGGCTTTCTCAGAGGCCAGCCCAAACAAGAACTAATACAAATGGATGTAACATCTTATAGCAATAGCAATTAACCTCTCTCCCTTTGAGCAGTATACCTTTCAATTGGACTGTTTCAGAGGAAACACAAACATAATATTTAATGCTATATTGCCACATCTGGCTCTAAAATTGGTTAATATATTCCATGCCAACTTCCTATAATAATGTAGTCACAAGGTAGGTTCAAGGTAAAAAAAATCATATTTCATCCTCCCTTTCCATCTTCTGGTTATGATTGATCTTAGTAAAGAATACAAAGTTGATGTTAATAAAGAGGAAAACTATAATTCAAAATGTACAATCTCTACTCACAGCTATATTTTTTATTACTAACTCACTCTTTGTACTTTATGCTATAGGAATTTGGGTTTTAGTAATACCCAAATATTAAATACAATTTTGACCAGTTTCTTCTCTTGAAATATCACCGGGTACATTAATTACATTTGTGGATGCTACTTTGCCGACAGAAACTGACAGTCGCAAACAGCTCCTGGTGAGCAGTGAGCAGAAACAGATTTTATCACTGAACTGCTGAATTCAGTCCACGAATAGCAATGGAGTGGTGTCCAAACTTCATGTCTCACAAAGGGTCAGCCTATTGCCCTAGCTTGTGCATCAGGTATTATTGATTTATGGCTACAACCTGTTTCTTTTCCCATATTTTTTTCAGTCAAGGCCAACTCTATTCTAAATTAGGAGCTTTATAAGCCAATTCTGACATTCCGGGATTTAAAAATTTAGTCTTCGGTAATGCTCTGAGAGCATAAATGGGAAAGCTGGAACACCAGTACTTAGAGAACAGGATACAGTCTAGCATTATGTTTGTCTTGACTCCTCTGCTCTTGTGTTTGATAAAATTTTGCATAATGCTAGACATCCATCACACAGCTACTATCATTTTCTCTGAAATGCAGAAGCTAAACATTGTTTTAGGTGATTTAAATGCTTTTTTTTTTTTGTAGTGAATGACTTGCGACTGTGTAAAATGCATCTGTACTGTAAATTAAATGTAATTATTTCTGTGTGTCACACAAAAAATTGTGTTTTTCTTTTTCTACTGTGGGGGAGATGAAATTTGTCTTGTGTTTCAGAAGAACATAAGATGTGTTATGCTAAATAAATCAGAGGTCCAAGGAGTACTTAAATAAAACATCTGCATGCTTGAATGGGAACCTGGTTTTGCAATAACCTCATTCACAGAGAATTTTGTTCTTGCTTATATGTCAAATGATCTTGAATGAATGCAGAAAACCCTTGAGTAAAATTTCTCTTGAAATTCAATGTTATTCTTCATATATATATCTTTGGAACATCAAGACCAAATTCTGTTCAGGGCAATCAAAATAATTGAGTTTATACAAAAATACTTTGAAGCACGACAGGGCACAATTGTTATATGATCCTGAGAAAAAACATTGAAGCTTTAAAGAGTTACAGGAAAATATATTCGTATGTCCACATATTCCAAAACATCATTTAAAGAATCAGATTCAAAACATTGCATAGCTCTATGGGATATACAGCACACTTGCGTTCTATTTTTATGAACCTAAGAATATTTAAATGGAAACTTTCTGCTCAGTATAATCCTTATGCATAATCTACACCTATTTGCACTTTTCAGTAGGTGCAACGAAACTGTATATTAGTATGGCCAAACAGGAAAGAGCAAATTGGAGCTGTCTCCAAACTCTTATCAACTTTCTCCTTGACTGCTCTTTATAAGCAAAGTGAAAACGTCTTTAGATGGCATGTTGGCCTGACTAGTCATCTTTGATTTCAGCAATCTCAGCATGGCAGGCTGTGATTCTTGGGGTCTGCAAGAACTTCAAAAAGGCAGAATCCACTCAGATACCTGGACTAAGAAAACAAACCTCTTTTACCTAAAGACTAGCAAAGCAGTGTCCAAGAAATAAGATGCAGGTAGCTCTAGATTCATAATAAATCCCTGGTTAGAAGAAAAAAATCTAACAGCTCAATCCCATTAAAAGTCAAAAGGAAATTAGAGGACAATTCTTTTAATGAATCAATGAATGAACAACACAATACAAAATATATGACAGTAATGGCTTTACTGCTGATCACATTAGGCTTTGTTATCCTTGCCCATAATGAAGTCCAGGGCAAGCTGTGACTATTTAAAAATCACAAGAGTACAAGCTTCCATTTATCCCTGGCACTTTCATCCTTTTCTGCTACTGGTGGGAATTGTGTAAGAATAAAAGAACTTCATAAGTTCAATGCATCATGCTTGAGAGATAAGGCACATGGTCAATCACTTAAACACTAGTTTCCAAACATTTGCTTTAGCCCAGGCCTTTTCTATTTTCAGCTTGCAAAGAACAATGGGGGGATATCTAATTTTGACACCCAGACTGTATCTCTCAGGAGAAACAATAATTTCAACTGCCTGCTTATAAAATGCATAACAGTAATACAACTAGCTGAAAAAATCAATTCTATAGTACATATAAAATACAGTAAGATAAGACTTTTTAGAATTCAATAAATAAGTTGTCTCATGGGAATTTAACCCACCCCAGTATTCAACATGAAAAATAATTACAACTTTTTTTTTCTTGCAATCAATAAAAATGCTAGAATTAATTGCATAAATAAGGACAAACTTAGATATTCCTTTAAAATTAAATTAGCAGATTTATATGGTGTATGCACAAGGAACCTAATTGGAATCAGGATCTCTCTTTATAGAAGGAGGCTTTGATTTCTGCTGTGATTCAAAATTGCTTCTCATTCGGTCCATTTTAATTGCCAAAAGGTAATTCATTAAAGTTATCTATTGAACCTCTTTTTGAGCTCAAGTTCTTCAAATCAAAATATTGCATGAGCAAATAGTTTAATCTCTTTTGCTCTCCTACATCAGAATCCCAATTTGGATTGGCTCCCGTGCATATTCTCTAAATAGAAGGAAAAAAACATAGTTTTTCAAAATAACCTGTTGTTTTAGCCTATTGATCAGCTAATCCATGATGTGTATTTATAAAATCAAAAGTGCGGTTATAAGTACTGTCATGAGATCAATCTCTGGTTCCTCATTTTCCCCTCCTGCCTCTTTGCATGCTCAGCTTGTAAGGAAACCTTTGGGTTTATTAAATCACAGTTTTATTAAGTTACAATTTCCCATGATAATTAAAGTGGAAAATGTTTTTTGCATACTCTCTAGAATCTTGATTTGCAAATTAAAGTTGAAACTGTCATTTACAATTCTAATTTGTAGACTGTATTTAAATTTCAGCTTTTTTCTTGGAGACTGAAAAGCTCAACAAACTATGTTATCTTTCAAGCTATGTTTAGTAGAGAAGAAGGATAAGATGAAGATACAGATATAGCTGTTGTCTGGTTATACTGTAACAAATCATGGTTTCTCTAAGCAGTATTATGTCTGACCTGATTACAAAACTGAAATAGTGCAAAAGAATATCCATGCAAATTATACACTGCTAGGCATTTACTAGTCTCCCCCCATCAAATATGCAAATTCTGATGAAAATATGCAGCTGGTAGGTGATCCAAAAATTCCTACGAAAGAGATACTTTCGTGACATTCAAATGAGCCAAATCATTCATGAATATATATTTCCACAACGCTAAGTACAAAATCTAAGCAAAGTTAAGTAAGCTTATTCTCATTGATTTCAGTGGTTAACTGGGTAAATCATCCTCCAAATTTCTTACTGAAAAATAAGTAGGGTAGGGGAAAAGTTGGAATACTTTTACAAGGAGCTTTTCTTTGGAGACAATATAGATTGCCTCTAACTTAAGTTTCAGCAAATAAAGATATGAATAGAATTATCTCAAGGTGAACATTCACACACACACACACACACACACACACACACACACACACAACACACAACTTATCTGTCACATATAACAAATACACTTAAGTATTAATATGTATTTTTTTCTTCAGTCCACATAATTTAATTTGAAAATTAATTAAGTCATTAAAAATTAAATGATTCACATACTTCCTTAAACTAAACAAAATGATGCTAAGATTATCCTCTTTACAAAAATCCAAATTTCCATATTGATAGCAATTCTATTACACATACACACACATTATATACATGTCTATCCCTGATCTTTTAGTGGCAATTACCACCATTATTTAGTAATAACAGTTGTCATGGGTTCTCTTTAAGCTGTTCTTTGTGCCTTTATTGTGGGACACACCGACTATTTGCTTGCTTGCAGGATATGAGACTATGATATATATATATATATATTTTTTAAAAAATCCATTAACGTTGGTGTTGTAATGCACAAACAAAAGAGGACGATCCAAAGTTTATACGCATGTGTTGGGAAATGATGTACTGTTAAGTAACTGGATTTCATGCCTGGATTTCACTGATAGCTACATTTCAAATGCAAATCCTACATCTGCTGTATCAAAGGGCATTACCATCAGTACATCCATGACCACAGTGCTACTGTGAATTATTTTTCTCACATGCAATTCTATGTGTGGATTAAACTAATAAGAGTGTCATATTTTCAGAGGTGGTTTTTTTTTTTAAGTTTCTGAAAGGTCCAAGTTCAGAGTTTTCTCAGCTGTGATTAACAACTGCAAGGAAGCAGATCTGAATGCAACATGTTCAGTAATTGTGGCTTGCCAGTTTCCATTCCTTGAAAATGAAATGGAAAAATCACTTAAATTATATGTAACTGTTGAATGCTGATTGTCTACGGCTGTCTATCATCTGTGGGGCTTTCAACACTGAACATTTCCATTCTCAATCTTAACAGAATTGTTGAAGTGAAAACTTTAAATAGGTAAGACCTCTAAAATTATTCCTGCCTATTTTTTTCCACTCATTATGAGACTAGTGATCTACTTTCCACATGGTGCATACAATCTCATGAAAAATGAGGAATTGTCCTTATTCTGTAAAACAATTATTTTTAGCATTACAACTCTAACAAGTTTTATGAGAAAAAGAAAAACAATTGTCCTCAAGAGAATCTTAGTTCCATGCTTTCTTTTCCATGGCAGCTTAAAATGTAATGTCCAGGATCCAAAATGATGGCTATATTCAAATTGTAGAAATCACGGACTGGCATATTGCGCTATAGTTCCTCCATTTCAAAGTGTGTGTTAAAGCTGTTTGCTATTGTGGTATGTTCAAGGATCCTTGTCAGGCTGGGTTTTAATAACTCCACAGAATGACATGACAGGTGTTGAGTGGCATCCTTCTTCAAAGACAGCATTTGGTCTGTGCGTGGATCCTGGCGATCATAATACAGAGCCCACACTAAAGTAATTGTAAGGATCATAGCCAAAATTTGGGTAACCCCTATGGAGATTCCTAGAAATCGAAGCACCTGCAGCTGCTTAGTTCCTCTCAGGAATGTGTACATCTTTTTGTCACAACCCTGGAACAAAAAAAAAAAAGAAAAAAGAAAATTCAGCATATCTATACTGTGCCCAGAGATGCTTGCAATCAGAAATTCTAAGTACCTCAAATGGGGCAGTTACTCTCTAATTCTGACCAACTGACTCAGAGTGGTGCCATAATCTACTCTACACAAAGAACAGTTTTATCAGATTCAGCTACCTACTTTATATTTATTAAAAACCTTTTCCTGGATATTACATATTAGCCTGTCTAGAAAGGAAAACGTTGTGAGTTCAAATAGTGTTCCACTGAATTAGACTAAAAAGGGAAAGAAAAGTATTAAAAATGAATGACTGGCTATAACAGATTTTATTTCTAGGACTATGGCCAAAGTTATTGGAATGATATGAATGCAGGCACATGTTGCATTCTATAAGGACTAGTAAAAATGCACAGGTCGTCCTTGTATAGTGACTGCCTCTGTCAGCAACCATTTGCAGTTAAATGGAGATGAAAAAGTAACTTTGCAACAATGATGCATTTATGCCGTTTACAGTGTCCATCTCTCTCTTTCTCTCAATCAGTTGCTCATCATTACAGTCAGTTTGTCACATTGTCCTGTGCCTGACCTGGGTTGTTTATTCCCCTCCCCCTTGCGCT